ATCGGATGACCACGTGCAGTTTACATTAGGCGTTTTGAGGTAGAGTTAAAGAGAGGGTCCCGGCCCATTTTGCAAGGGCGGGGGCGGAGACAGGTCTTCCCCAAACAAGAAACTACACTTGGCTCATATTGGACAACTTTACCCTTCAGAATCGCCCATATTTCATAACTATTATCCTCCCGGTATTATGATTACCGGTCGGCCGTTTACCGTAGTTTCAACTTGTAGCCCGTTTACATAATGGTATTATTAGCGTAGGACGAAAGAGCCTGTTTCATTTTCCGGTGCCGATATTGTTTTTCGGTTTTTAAAAGTGCGGTGTCCAACGTACGTTCGAGGTATCGATTGGGCGGGAACACTGTTTGCTTACAGGAACTAAATTTTTCACTTTATAAGCGAGTTTATTAAAATGAATCATAATAAATGATGAACTAGGTCAACACTTTACAAATTTGAGTGTTATTTTCACAAGGTCACATTACGCCCACGGTCAGGACTGATCTCAGAAACACGTCTAAAGCCAGGAACACACTTACCCGATGCTACGCCACGCGACGCTACCCGATGCTACCCGACGCCTTGCCACGTTTTGGTGGGGTGTGCACATCTATCCGACGCAAGCACACGTCGCGTACAGTCCACAGCGTTTATCACAATAATCACTATCACAATCGCAACGCATCTTTTGTTCTTAATGCACTATTTTGAGCAAAACCTTGTAATAAATTGTTAGTTAAATTTTATGAGCACAACCATCTAATAAATTGTTTGTTAAACTTAATTGTTTTAAATAAAGTTACTCCTAACCATCATAATTAAACAATGTTTATAAAAACTTATGCATTTTTGATCTCGTTTAATTTGGTTTACATTAAAATAACATGTTGTAATTAATATAACGACAAAATTACATGTACTTAGTTTGAAATAAACTACAAAAAATATGAGTGTCCTGTTCTGATGCTACCCGACATTACAAAATGGTGTAATTTTACGAGCAAAACTATGAAATAAATTGTTAATTAAATTTTATGAGCAAAACCGTGTAATAAATTGTTCCAATTTTAGTATATGTACCGCCGAAGCGAGTACAATAAATTGTTAGTTAAATTCATTATATCAAAAAATCGTATTCCGGTGTTTTGATTAATTTTCTACCAAACCATTAAAATTAATTTTTTAAATAAAAACTAATTAATTTTTAATCACAGTTAATTTGGTTTATATTAAAATAAGTATGTTGTAATTAATATAACGACAATAATACATGTAATTTAAATAAAAATATGAGTGTCCGGTTCTTTTGTCTTCGACTGTACTCGATGCGACCCGACGAAAATCTGGACAGTGGGAATCGCAGAGCGTCGTGTAGGTTAGCGTGGCATAGCATCGGGTAGATGTTCTACCCCCGCATGCAACCTTAGGGAAAATCTGAGTTTGGATTTGCGTCGGGTAGCACCAGGTAGCGTCGCATGGCGTAGCATCGGGTAAGTGTGTTTCTGGCTTTAAGAAACCTCAGCTCACGATGAAGAGGTATTAAAGGGCGAATAGGTATCAGGGAGATCAACATGGAGAATTCAGGGAATGTGAGTTGAATAAAAGAAAAGGTACGGTGAGACAAAAGGCTAGAGTGGAACTTCATGAAGCGAAAGCCATTTATATTATATTATATTAAAATTAGGTAGTTAGCTGCTTGGGATTGGTTTAGAATTGTGGCAGCATTAATATAGCATAATATATATATATGCCTTCACATGTAGTTGAAACTTGCAATTATGTTATCAATATTACGATCTATTAGATTACTATGAATGGGATTTCTAGCGGGTTATCATTAAACTATAGCCAATAGAGGTATTCACGATCTTTGTGTTACCCTGTTAACTCTGTCAGGCCTGTTAGATCGAGAAAAATAGTGACGTAGATTTGTAAAAATCGGCTAGATAACATTGCTCGATCTAACAAGCGAGGGCCAATGTAATACGTTAGATCCATACGATTTCGTGGTCCGATTGACCAAATAACCTCTTTCAATTAATTAATGTTTATGTATGGTATTGGTCGAGATAAAAAAGTCAGTGGCACGAGCGGGATTCGAACCCATGATCTTCAGCTTGATACGCCGCTGCTCTACCACTTGAGCTATCGTGACTTCGGCCCACTCGGACACCAACTTCCCATCTCAACCCACCTCTCGAATTTTCTCTCCTTTTTGCCATTTTTTCAAATGTTGTGTAATCAGGATTCGATTCTCGGCGACAGATGAAATGACCACGGAGAGCCTTAGTGAAGATATTTGTTTATTAAATCCATTATATTTCGTGGTCCGATTGACCAAATAATCTCTTCAATTAATTAATCTTTATGTAAGGTATTGGTCGAAATGAAAAAGTACCCAAGGCATAATCATTTCAACTTCCAAATTGGAAATACGATCCCTCCAGACATATTATTTTAAAATATTTTTTACGCTTAAAACAAGGTTCAATCTGATTTTAAATTGGTCAAAAAATTTGAAAAAACGCAATTCGGTTGTTTCTTTGTTAATTCCTATAATTTGCCTCTCCAATAAAGCAAATATTAATTGCCTTTATTGTTTACATTCTGTAATTGTTTGTTAAACTCGCATTATGAGAGCAAATTTTAATTCCTGAAAATAAATAAATCTTACAGTACAACCTATTCGTTACATTCAGTATTCCATTCAAAATCAACCGAAGCACATTTTTCGTCCGACTGATTTATTGACAGTGACAGTATTGCGCGTCGTGCAGTCGAGTTGTACTCCCAGACATTTTCTGATCGCCTCACATTAAACCACGAAACGTTTATTCCCGTTGTTCGCAATATGAGGAGACACGGATCCGTTGCTGTTCCTTCAGCAAGAAACCGACAGCATAGTTTCGACGAAGTGCCGAATTTTTTACATTATGTTCGCGAAAATCCGAATTCCTTTCTCTGAAATGTTGGAAACGTTTTAGGTTTTTCAAAAAATAAAATTAGATGTAGTCCGGACTTACAATTTTAAGGCGTATCGCTTTCTTCTTGTCCAGTCTACGTTCCTTCCACAAATGTCGATTTATGGAGGCCGAAGAAAACGTTCTTCCATACGTCCCATGGATAGATGCATCCAAGTTCACCTCTAATGGCATTCTAAACTGGTGGAATTTTCGAACGTGGGCAGAGGAAATTTCTAGAATTTCGTAGGCTTGTCATCATCACGTGGTTCACAGTATCAACCTTTGGTGTGAACTTCTCGGAAATAAATTAATTTGGCCTTAGTTCTACGAAATTAATTTAAATGGTATTCAGTTAGACAATTTTTTAAGGGAGGTTGTACCAACTCTATTAGATGATGTTCCTCTGCAAGAAAGACAAAGAATATTTCTCAATCTTGATGGATGCCCAGAACAAAATTCTTTGCAGGTGAGACATTATTTTAATCGTCACTTCCAGGCTAGGTGGATAGAACCTCCAATCTGTTGCTTCATCGGTCAACCGATTTAACTCTACTTGACTATTTTCTGTGAACACATTTAAAAAACTATATCTACGCTAATCATAACCCCGCAACCCCTCTTGAAGAACTGCGGCAAAGGATAAAAAATATTCTTAAAAAACCTTTTTGCCATAAGTTTTTCATATTTGAACCAATTTATAATCCGCTTGCACCATTGTTTCCAACGCAAAAAAATCATTTAAAATGATGTGTCAGGATGTATAGCGACGTATTTGAAATTTTGAAGTTAAACTGGGCAAGAATTACCTTGTACAATTTTTTCCCTAAAAGTGGAAGAAAATTGACACTAGTCTAAAAAAATATTAAACCCGTTTTTTTCTCATTTTTATAGCGTCATTGTTTCAAGAGAAATTCAGCTTGGCTCTCTAAAAGGACACCCTGTATACACTAGGAGGCAAAAAACTGGCCACCCTTAAGATTTTTAATTATCTCTTAGTCAATCCTCCATTGATTATCATACAAAAATATTTGGCTTTAAAGGATTATAGGCAAATAAAACGTAAATAGACAGATAGATAGATAGCTCGAGAAAGAAAGAGAGAGAGAGAGAGAGAGAGAGAGAGAGAGAGAGAGAGAGAGAGAGAGAGAGAGAGACTTTGGTATTGTATCAAGTAAGGTTTGTACTATTTTTGAAGAATCTCGTCTATGTTAACCTCATTGAAATATGTCAGAAGAAACGCAATTCTTTTTCCCAAATGAGGTAAGTTACGTGATGTTGGTTTTGAGAAAGAAGAACGTCTGCTCTTTAAATATGCAAATTTCGGCTGATAATCAAATGTATATGAAAATCTTGTAAAGAAGAAAGAAAAACACACATGCGCTCGTACCGTCTCAACCTCGTTACTATTCAGGTCAAGCCGTGACAGTAGAAAAATAAAACGCTATGGATATATTCTTAAATGTGAAAAGGGTTTATTAACAATAAAAATCAAAATGTCCTATTTGTGTTTACTATTCGTTTTAACCGAATTTTTTATCTGAATAAAAATACGACGCCCATTCATCGCGCATAAACAAACTTCCATAAAATAAGAAGAGAAATGATCTAAATCAATTCACCAACGGAACTTTATCGGGACCGCACATGTCACAATAACTTTCGGGAAGTTTTCATGTCGACTCCTTCGGAATGACTTCACGTCGAACGGCTTATCTTTTCGTCCAGCTATCTATGTTACGACCGGTGGGTATTCTATTTAATTAAATCACGTTTCCGTTAAACGGGGCTTTGACTTTTCCACGCACGGCATCGATCCGTCCAATTACTTTACCCTTTTCCTTCCCGTTTTCACTTCTCTTCTTATTCTCTTCATACAATAATGGGAAATAGATATCCCAAAATTTAATATTAGTTCAATAAAAAGCAATAGTTTCAACACTAACTCCTCCAAGGTGTTCAACCGACCTTCCTTTCAAACAGTAATTGTTCCCCTCCAATCTTTGGGTGTAGCAAAGAGATGAATAGCCTGCCTGTACTTACGTATAACGGTGAGGTTGACCTTTGTGTTCCTCGTCGGGGATTTTCTAAAGTCGACTCTGCACCTGTAGACACCGGCATCGGCGTCTTTGACGTTTTCGATCGTCAGCCTAGCGGGTGCGACCGACGCCTGGAAGAACGCCCTTCCACCGAGGGCTGCCTCTTCGGACCAGTGCCGTCCCGCTTCCACCGTCATGTTACGCGCATCGACACTGAAATAAAGAAAAAATTTGATTCGACATTGTTGATTAACGTACACAGTAGTATTTTCTACATAAAAAATACACTTTTGTATAATTAGCCTTCCATTGGAAACATATATTTTACACATATAATTCAAGGAAAACCCGCGAGTGGAAACAGACCCAATAACTGGTCGTGTGCCGGTTCAACATTAGTTCACCGACTCGCAGACCAAAACCCATTATCTCCTATAAAATATATTACACATAATTACTAATAAAATAATAAATATAAAGACCACACTCAGAGAGAAACAAATTGACCACCCTCATTTTTGTTTAAAGTAAATATTTGCAACTGTTATAATTTTTATTTTTTTTTTGTTTAGTGGATATTTCTGACCACCTCTATGAGAAAATGTTCCCGAGATATACCCCGTCTCCTGTTCTTCCCCAAACCCTCTCTCTGCTGTCAGAAGTCATCGAACAAAACCTTGACTCATCCGAAAACCAGATTTCGGTCCAATCTTGCTCAGACCGATTGATGTCATGCAAAACTTAACCGAGATTTTCTGTGCCTTCAGACGTTAGTCACAAGTTCTGGACCAGTTGCAGGCCTTCTTGCTCTTAATCCAAAAAGTCTTGGACTTACATTGCCTAAAGCTACATTAACATTTCTAATTATTGAAGTCGTTGCTTGATCTCAACAGCGGTAGAATTTCGATTACGGAGTACATTAAAAACGGTAAAACTATCATATCGTTCAGTTGTGACAGGATGAAGACCTGATCCATGCCTTTTTGAGTTACCTCCAGTAGTTCTGGACTTTGGACAGTTGTTCTGGGAATTTTAAGCAGCCTGGCCATATACGCTCGACTTCTTCCATCTTCCAACATTACTATGTTTCTAGCCGTGTCACTTAGAATCATCAGTCAAAAAAATTTTAAACTTAAAAATGGTACCATTTAAAAAAATTGAACCACTGGAACTGTGGAGAGTAGCTCGATTAAGATCAAGTTTGCGCGCCCTTCCATAGAAATAAATGCCTGCTCAAACCATAACACCACTATCTCCATGGCTTCTCCGGAGTGAAAATGTTGTAGAGATATTTCCCTCTCTTGTTATTCTCCAAACCCTCAGAAGTCCTCGGTGGTCAGATGATCTCGAACAAATCCTTGGCTCATCCGAAAAAAAATATTTTAGTCCAAGTTGCTCAGGCCAATTCTCGCGAAACTAAACCGAGAAGTTCTGGACCAGTGGAAGTAGTCCAGCTTAACAAATTAACAATGACAGTTCTAGCTTTTTCAAGTCGTTGCTTGATCTCAACAGCGGTAGAATTTCGATTACGGAGTACATTCGAAACAATAAAACGATCATCTCTTTGAGATGTCACACGATGGAAGACCCTTCGGACAGTTGTTCTTGAAATATTAACACGCAATAAAAAAGTAAATTCAATAATAAATTTTACGAAATGAAAGGGTTACCCACGGGGTCTCCATTATCCCCACTTTGTGCTGAAATATTCATGGATAATTTCGAAAAAAATCTTTTCAAATCAAAGAACAAATTAATTAAATCTGTTCATTTCTGGAAACGCTAGGTAGACGATATTTTATGCATATGGTCGGGAACATTAGAGGCTCCCAATGAATTCCTCCAACTAATTAATTCTCTACACCGTAATATAAATTTTACATTGGAAATTGGCAAAGATGGTTGTTTGAACTTTTTAGACCTAAAACTGTCTATAATAAACAGCCTAATAGAAATAGACGTATAGAGAAAACCCACAACTACAGACACTATGATACCAGCGGATTCTTCCCACCCATGGTCCCAAAAGGCTGCTGGTTTCATTTGGCTCATAGACCGGATGTTAAAACTTCCGCTAACACCTGATAACTATAAAAAAGAATTAAAAACTATTAAAACCTTAGCAAAAAACAACGGGTATCAAGAAATATTTATTGATAGGTTGCTAGTTAAAAGAATAAAAAAATTAACTTTAAACGAATCAACAATAGGACTCAGCCACCCCACCACAAATGAATCATTAGGTTTCCGTTGTTTGCCATACATTGGTGAATTATCGGAAAAAGTTAGTAAAATTTTTAAACAAGAAGGTTTTAGAATAGCTTTTAGAAGTACGGGTTCACTTAAAAACATCCTCTCAAAACCTAAAGACAAAGTAGACAACTTGGCAAAAAGTGGGGTTTACCAACTCAATTGTAATGATTGTGATATTAAATATATAGGACAAAGCGGTAGAGAAATAAAAACAAGAGTAAAAGAACACTTGCCTAAATCGAGCAAATTTTCGGAATTTAAGGACCATCTAAAAGAAACAAAACATAATTTCAATTCAAATTTAAATACAAGAGTGTTACATAGTTTCAACAAAGGGAAAGAACTAGATTGGTTTGAGAAATTTGAAATTAAAAAATGTAAAATTGAACATGGTGATAAATGCATTAATAATATAACAGATTTTGATCTACCTCCCATTTTAAATATGTACATAAATAATATCAAACATCCAAATAATTAAACTAATTATTTTAATTGTTATTATTTTTATAGTAATTTAATAATATTAAGTATTTACTAGTATAATATTTATTTGTGTTATAATTTCCGCGTTTCGCACGTTCAAATTGAGCGCCATTAAACAAATCAGCTGCTAATTGAAACGTCGCGTTGGCGGAGGTATCAGCGGGTTCACTTTGGCAATTCATGTCGAGAGACGTGGTTGTGGATGTCCTTCAATCTGATGATGAGCTAAAAGGCTCGAAATCCGGATCGTTGCAAAACAACTTACTGTGAGTAGGAACTATCTTTTTAAAAAGGATTGAACACCACACTCACTCAATCATTTATCATTGCTATCATTTCTGGTAACACGCTGGCCACAAACGCTTAACTCCTTCCATCTTCCACAGTGTTATATTCTAGTCGGATCTGTATCACTTAAAACCATCTCTCAAACAAATTTTAAATTAAAAAATGGTACCACTTAAAATAATCAACCCACCGGAACGTTGGAAAGTAGCCTTTCCGTACAGAAAAATCTACAAAGAAGATACAAAATATTCAATGATTTATCCAACAAAATCCAATTGTAAACACAGTTTCATTTTATCTGTCTTTTATTTACTTTGAATCCTTTAAAAGGGACCAAATATTGTTTTGAGATAATCAATGGAAAATTGTCTAAGAGATAATTAAAAATATTATTAGTGACATTATTTTGTCTCTCTCGGTATATACAAGGTTCCCAAATTATAAAGACTAAAACGCCACATTTTCAAAAACTCAAACTTTCGAAGTGCGAAAGCCGACATTGGCCACAAGATTTGTGAGGCGGAAGAAAAATTTTCAGGGAGGATGGAGAAGAATAGGTCAATTCAGATGGCTGTGTTCATCTTTGTAAAGGCAAATAATCCCAGATTGTTTGACTCCATGTTTCCTCCACTATGCTCCAAACGTCATTTTATTTTTATATTAATTTTTGCTTCCTTTTTTGTAAGGAGGCAGGTCATATCAAATTGTATTAAACTTAATGCTTGCTATGTTCACATAAATGAAATTATTGTAGTTTATTCAGTGGTCACTAAGTACCAAATTATAGCCTTCTAAAATTTATTTTTCAGGTTAGATCAACATGCCTTCTAGATCTTGACACATATTAGCCGCTATAGCATCCGGTTCTTTATTACACTTCGATATACATTGATATTCAGTAAGCATTAAAAGGAAAGTAATACAGATTAATCCACCGGCCATTACCTAACGATTTATAGTTTTTTGTAGGTTTTTTCATGTTAGAATCGACATGCCTTCTAGGTCCCCGGCACATATTGCCTCCACGCTATCTGGTTTTTTATTATATGTTAATGTGTAAGGTTAATTAATACACATATGTAAAATATAATCGCGTTGTCCATTTCTGATAACTACCGAATTAGAGCCTTATTAGTTTTTTCCCAGTTTAGATCGAGTTGCCTTCTAGATCTCACGACAAAATTTAGCCCTCCCTGGAAAAAAATTTAACTGAAATTTGGTTTTCATTCTTCGTGAATTTGATGAACGGTTAAACGAATACTTCGAATATGATAACAGCAAATTTTGAAATCCAGTGGTGCAGAAAAAGTGAAATCCAGTGAAAAAAAATCATTTGATAGCATTGATGTTATCAATAACTGAAAAAAGTTATATAAAATGGCAAAAAATGGGAAAATTCGAAAGATTGTAGATTTTGATAGGGAGTTGGTGTCCGAGTGGATCATAATCGATCAATTGGTCAAAGCAGCGGCGTATTGCGCCGAAGGTCGCGGGTTCGAATCCCGCAAGTGACATTAACTTTTTCATCACAACCAGACCTTACATAAAAAGTATAATTAATTTAAATAAGTAATTTGGTCAATTAGACCACTAAATAAACATAAATGGGTTATATAAAATTATAAGTGTATCCGTGCTTCAGCTCATGCTACTCAGAATGTTTTCATTTTACAAGCAACATCTATTACGTTTCTGCAATGTTTGCAGTTTAATAAATTATTTTCTTAGTGTAAAAATTTTAGGAGAAAAGATTACCCCGTGGAATTGAAAGCCTTGAATGATTAATTGACCTTATCAACGGGCCATAGTTTAACCTGCTTAAAAACTTGAGCTCATCGCTCATTGGATTTCTTTTAGAGTTGCCTCTTGCCCCCCCCACCAGAAATCAATTCCAATTTTTCAAAATTTCTATTTTTTTTATTGCTGTTAAAGTGAAATTTGTATCAAAGTTTTATGTTGTGAACTGGGTTTCTTCTTTAACCCCGTCCATGTTGGCCACTGCGCAATCGTTTCTGTCCCGTCACAACAACCACTCGGATATATAACTCAATTTGACATACATCACTATCCCGAGCCCCTGATATGTTTACTGGATGGATTCACTTCTAAATGTTTTTATTGAATAGTGAAATATGAGTAGGGGAGAGATTGTTGCTAACAGCTGAACTGCCCTTCATCAACCATCA